TATGATAGAATAGAGAGCAGTAAGATCTTTTCCTAGTACAGATTTACCATTTCATGATAGGAACAGATAATTAGCTATCGATCCGTCAATGATATATCCTGCTTGTCGAATTTTCAATAATTTCAACCCATTCACACATACACACGCTTCATGCTCTGTAAACGAAATTTTTAGAAACTACACGCTATAGTTATTCATGATGTTCAGGCAATACGTGAATAATCGTGCTGATGCATAAAGAAATTGAAAATGACGGTAAATAAAGATGGAAATTTTAGCCTTCTGCGCTCGGGTGAATCATCGGCGGCTTCTATTTATGTTTTCTCAAATTTAGCATTTACAAAAGGACGCATTCAGCGATCCACTGACAATACTTAAGACTTTATGAAACTGCAATCGAGAAGGACTAAAGAAATATCTCTTTAAAGGTCACCTGCTCATTTCTGTAATTCAGTCCGGCCGTTGTTACAATCCATGTCATATGCTGACAAGGACAAAAATAATGGCATAATTTTACTAAACCTAGCTCCGGCCTTATGGAACCATTTCCTTGCTTTCATATGCCTAAGAGGCATTTAATCCAGACTGAAGTTTCAAGAGATTTTACAAAGTACATCACCTTAGTAACTTCTAAAATATTACCAACGTCCACAGTACTTTAACAACTACTTAAGTACAGCTTATGATAGATCCTCATTACTCTTAAAGTATAAGTCGACAGTGCCATGCTATTTTACTACTTGATTAGTTATAGAATTGTAGCCCCATCAATGACGATCATGACGCGTTACGCATTAGTGAAGCCTCAAAATAGGAAAAATAATATATTCTCAACTGTTGTTCAGAAGAGAGACCAATTCATTCGTGAGCTGGTGGTCAAAATGAAAAAAAAATAGCTTAAAATACTGTTTACTCACACACAACACGAATGATACTGCGGTCAATCCAGTGACTGACTAATACCGACATTGCCGACTCACCAGCACTGAACTAACAGTGACAAATATCTCAACTTTAAATCACACAGTCATTTAAATAATAAACGTCCTGTTGTTACACCTGTAATAGACAAAGCCCTGAAACTCTGCGGTAATAAAATTTTTAAAGATGAAATAAAGTATATCAAATCAACCTTATGCAACAACGATAATTGTTCAGCTGAATTCGTTAATAAAATCATAAAACTTCGAAAAAGCCACTTTAAATCCATTTGTAACACTAACAAGGCCAATAACAAATCCTACTTAATTCTGCCGCACCATAAAAGTTTAGTGAAAAGTTACTAAGTATAATATTAATGCTGTATATAAAATCACTAATAAGAAAAATGCGTTATGAAATATTTGTGAGAATAATATTAACGAATTACAATGTAACTGTTGGAAATATTAAATGAGGAAGAGGGAACATCGTTACGCAAAGAACGAAGACCCAACTCTCAAGCTGATGAACATGGATGATCATGTGATGACGAAGCAGCCAGGAAGAAAACAAAAAACTCACCAGCAGAAAAGTCAGGGAACAGCGTGAGAGAACCTTTGGGATTGCGCAACATGCAGTCAAGCAAGGACACTTCCCTGATAATCTGAGTATAGCGATATCATCAGAGACGCTGGCCGCACATGCGGATAAAGGAAGCATTAATCATCCAATCCTGCGATAACGTCAACCGTAACAAAGAACATGAACTCTGCGCGGACTGGACGAGACTTGTTACCCCCCCCCCTCTCCCAAAAACTATTTAACCAGAAGCACGGACCAAAAGCTTGCCTTTCCGGCTATAAAATTATCGACTGCGGATGACCAATCACATTCACAAAAGTCTATTACCAACCATCCTTGAAGAACACCCGTAAGACTCGGGCAGAAACACCGGTGTTAGTCAGTCAGTATTGATTTACCACAGCATCTTTTGCGTTGTGTATAAGCAAACCGTTTTTTACGCCATTTTTCCGTTGTTTAGAGTACAATTTAGGTACTATTTACTTGTTTGGATTAGGGCACCAAGTTCTCTACAAAAGTTAAAGCCTTGGATAACAACGGCACTGTGTACATGCCCTTAAGCGCATTGTATCTGCCATGAACGAGGTGATTAAAATGATTTCTGTAGCATAACGAGTCGCTGAATAGCTAACAATGATACATTCATGTAAGTACGCTAACTGAAGGTATGCAACTTGCACAGTACTTCACGAAATACGTATGCTAAGTGTATATCAAATACTCGTCAACACTCACAGCGAAAATTCGATCGCGCCTGTAGCTTTTAGGTTTAACTGTACGTCGGCAGCATTCACTTCGTCCGTTTGAAATAAGTCAGAGACTATTAGGAATCCAAGTCTATGAAATAGCTCATTACATAGTAATAGCTGTTTTAGCCGTGCCAAAACATACGTATGTTTTATGCCGTTTACGCTGTGGCGAAACAATCGTTGTTAATAACATAAGTGGTCGTCATTCGCAGACAAGAGTTTCCGAAAACTGTCAGCTATGGTGGAGGACTTTTCAGAGGCGCAAGGCTTTACTTGCTGTCACCGCTTTAGCTTGCCATAAGCTTCATTAATGGCTGAATATTTGATTTCCAAATCAAATTCCGAAACCGTGCTAACTGATCACTAAGCGGTGACAGTTAAACGAATCAGTCTTGGACTGAACATTGGATCAGTTAAGGTCCATAAGATCTGAATGGATTATCATTATGAATGATAACAAGTACATATGTTTCACACTAAAATTGTTCATATATTTTGCAAGTTGCACATCGCTATTTATGTACTTAAACTCCTGGCACAATTTATGTGACCGCTCATCAGTTCCTCATCTACTAGATCCTGCAAAATCAATACATGTATTTGATTCTTTCAATTATCGTTTGCTGTTACTCAGCAATTATGGGCCATTATAAATCGC